CTGTTGACCATGGGAGCTCTGCACAAGCATTTCCATTAGTCAGCACTGTGGTCTGTTTCAAATAGTTCATAAAAACTCAGGAATCATTTAAATCAAACCGGAATTTAACCCCATTCAGCAAAGATACTGCTATGTGGCCGTACATATTATTTTTGCATTTGACCAATTAGATGAGCAAATTATATATTACCTATTAAGAAAAAAAAAAAAAAAAACTTAACAAAAAAAAGTTAAAAAAGTTAAAAAGCTAACTGAAAAGTTAAAAAAATAGTTAAGTAAAAAAGATTAAAAAAAAAATGTAAGTGCATGTTTCAGCATTAATGCTCTAAGGTTATATGTCGTAACACAAAAATGTGTTTCTTTCACTCTGAGTGTTTTTTATGAATTTCTCATAGAAGCACTTTTGTTATTTTTCTTAATATATTCGGGCAAATAGCCATTTCTCAACATTAATTTCAAATATGCATATTGGTGCATATTGTTTTTTGTTAATTGCATATTTGTTGTCCTATATAAAACTCTTGGCTTGAAGTTTTGATTTTCAAAGTATTTCAAGGAGTGCCGTACAAATTTAAATGACATTACACCTAATTTAGATTCTTATGGAAGGTTCCTTTCTCTAAGGGACACTTGGCAATGGTGGTTCTAGGGGGGGAGTTTTTTTTCATGGGGCCACAGTGGGAAAAAAAATAGAAGAACACGTAGGAAAATAAAAAAGAAAAAACAGTGTAAGGTGCCAAACAGCCATGGACTCCTGATTTAACATATGAAAACTGTGATCGTGTCTTGGTCCAAGAAGAATCAGTTATGCTCTCTTCTGTGAGCAGGTATCTTCAACATGAATTTATTTAGAGTTACACTGCAAAAAAATAATCTACAAAAAGAAAATATTTCTTTGAATAATTGTATTTGCCCTAAATTTGAAGTAATTAAGATGGTTTTCCCAAAGCATTGAGTAGTTTTGCCATCACAAATAGGAGAAATATTCTTAACTTATTGAAATAAGTTACGGGAGTTTTTTATTTATTTTTTTTTTATTATAAACGTAAATCTTATTCCGTAGACAAATTTACTAACTTATATCTTCTAATCAAGGCAAAATACACTTATTTCATGAAAAATGTACCTAAATGTATCAAGAGGTGTGTAGTAACTAGTAATATTTACACAGTTACATGGACTTGCACAACTTTTTGAATAATAAAGTACTTTTAGGAGTCTTTTATAAGCATTAGACTTTCTACCTTTACGTGAATAAAAATATGAAACAGTATAACTACTACTTAAGTAGCATCTCTGGCTTCTCGACCCATTGTGAGTAACTAAGCATAATAAAAACAAGCTTATCTGAAACACATATGCTTTTTTTACTCAAAGCCTTTTGGTTTATTACCATTTTTCATTTTCTGAGTCTGAAAACACGATAAAAAGTATATTATAATTTAACGTATTCTAAAATACTATTGATTTTTTTGGGTTTTAACCCCTTAAAAAAGGTATTTTGACAAGTGTTCATTCCACATAAAGTTTGTTGGAGTGTAATTAGTGTATGTTTATTTTTTTAACCTTATTTGAAACACCAGAATTTGTATATGACTTTATATTTTGTTTAACGTTACATCGTTTTATAAATCATTAAATCAGTCATTATGATCTTGTATATTATGTAGTTAAGTTACTTATTACTGCAGTAGCATATAAACCAAATACTTTTTTACTCTTACATGAGTAAATTCTCGAATGGCAAATTTTTTCTTTAACTTAAAGGTATAGAGGACGATCTTTTATTTCCAGGCGGATCATCTATAAGTGTTACTCCTAATTGTCAATCATTCGATTGATATGTTTACATAAGGCCATCCTACATGCTTGTCCCGTTAGCTGTCCCAGATGTGACGACAAATCCCATAATGCTTTGCACAGAGAGCTCTGCTCGAAAAGCGTTATGGGATTTGATGTCACAGTGTACCGCTGTCACCATAGGAACCGTGATTTGAAGGAGGAGTAATATGACCAACGGAGCAAAAAAGCAGTGACCATCTGTCCGAACCGTCAGTTCACTTTAAAGTCCACTATAGAGTCCCACTATATAGGAATTGAGGGATTTAGCGGTTAGGGCGGACGTTTGGACACAGTAAGCTTGAATGATTTATGAGAACAGCAACTTTTAAACAGAGCGCACACGAGCAGATATGGGCTCGCAAATGCTGTCACATGAGCTTAATAGGCGTTCCCTCTCGGGAGCGAGTACAAGGTTGTGCATGTGCATTTTTTTTAAGTGGAAAGGGCGGGTCTT